ATCATCATTATTAGAAGTAGTTTTTGTTTTATTGACAAATGACAAATCTAGCTTTGTCAATTATCAAATAAAACCTGTTTAATGACATATGTACTCTATCTTGCATCTAACGATTTACACTTCGAGTGCAAAACTAAACGAAATAAAGAACAACAAGAGTCCGGCATTTGTCAATAAAACAAAAACTACTTCTAATAATGATGATGTAATCGCATACACAACAAACACAGCAAATCCCCGTACTTTATTTAAGAGAACTGGAATCAGAAAAACCTTCTCCTTCTGCTTTACAACTTAGATCTAAGTAGTAAAGGATTACGAGTTTGTCATTTCTTGTTAATGTACATTAATGCTAATTGCCTTTAAGCTGATAGAAGTTCTTTTTTTCTCCAAGAAACAATTTCTTTTAAATAGAAACAAAAATACACTTAGAACTCCTGTTATAGTTTCATTTGAATTCTTTTAAAAAATGAACAACACTACTGCTGCTGCTGCTGTTGTCGCTGCTCCAACTGATTTATTGAATCTAATTTACATTCACATTTATCTTTACGCTGTTTCTTTTGAATGTATTTTTGGTATGATAGGAAACACTTTAAATATTATTATATTTACACGTCCTCTACTTCGTTCAAATAGTTGTGCACACTATTTTCTTGTTGCATCATGTGATAATTTACTTACAATCTTTCTATACTTTATACCAGATTTACTTTCAAAAGTTTATGGAATTGATGCAACCAATTATTCCACTATCCTATGTAAATTAAGAGATTATTCGAATAATTTATTTCTTGATTTTTCATCCTACTGTCTGGTCTTGGCAGCAGTTGATCGGTGGTGTGCTAGTTCACGCAAGCCAAAGCAACGTGAATTTTGTCAGGTGAAAATAGCTAGACGAATGATTGTGGGACTTATTGTTCTATTGGTATTAGCCTATTTGCACATGCCGTTCTTCCATACAGTTGATCAAAGTTTAAAACTGTGTATAATAAGTGACACGGTTTATCTACGTTTCTTTACTATTTTTTCTACAACTGTGTTTACAGTGATGCCACCAGTTTTTATGGCAACCTTTGGTGTTCTTACAATTTGGAATGTAAGACACAGTCGTCGTACAGCTGGTTTTGCTGCTGCTACATCTGGTAGTCGAAGAGGAGATGCGGTTATTCTGAAACTCACTCAAGTTGGACGAGGAGGAGTAACACTTGGTGGTGGCCAAACCGATAGCACTGTAATTGGAGGGAGTAATAGTAGTAGTGTGGCGGTGGTGCAACAACATCAGCAAAAAAGACGTAGTGAGCGACAATTATTAAAAATGTTACTGTATCAAATTTTAACCTATTTTGCGCTCGTCTGTCCGGCTGCCGTTACCTTTGTTATGTCCGGTTTTCTAACACAGCCAACAAAGATCTTTTTATTTCTATTAGAGCTTGCTCTTCTACCATTTTTTCTTAATTACTGTATTGGGTTTTATGTCTATATCCTGAGTGCAAGTCTGTACCGACAAGAGCTGGTGAAAATATTAAAATTAGTTAAATGGTGGCAACGAAGAAGAACTCATTAAGAAATCAAACAAGACACAAAAATAACTTTTTATATGTCTTGTCTAATAGCTTTTTAAAAATTGTTTCTTAAGCGGATCCCCTTCTGCGGTTTTCTGTATCATCGTGTAGGGCACACTCTGAAACCTATGAATTAACACTTTTTTGAGTTTCAAACTCTAAAGTAAGAAAAGTCTTTTGCTTGCAAAAGAAAAGGTATTGCTTTTCTTTTTCTTAGGAAAGAAAAGGTATGAATTATATATTTACTCTTTACTTTTGAAATAAAAGATACCACTTTACCGTTCCTCTGGAAAGGAATGCCACCTCTAGTTCAGAGGGCATTTTGTCACGAAATGATTGACATGAAAAGGGTGTATGTGTTTGATATAGATTAGTGAGAATTCGAGAATCCAAATCCAATCAGACATCGATCAAGGGAGAAGTCTGCTAATTATCTCGATGTTTCTCCCCTTCTGATCTTCTTTTCTCTGCTCGAGATGCGAAGTAATACTGTCTTAACGCTTTGGTTGAGATACCCTTATTTCTTTTTAACCACTGCAGTTTTATATATGACTTTTGGATATTCTCTAAACATTTATCAACTGTTGGTTTCATAGAGAGGTTAGTCGTCCAAGTGAAACAGAGACATTTGAACCACTTTACAAACTCGACTCTATGCCCTTCAATCGAGGCTTCTATCTCCGATTCTCTTACTTGCGTGTAAAGTAACTGAGCTAAAGTTTTAGAGTAATTTATTGGATATTTCCATTGTTTTGAGTATTCAACAAGTCTAACACATAGTTTATTGCGGCACTCCTCCAGTTGAGTCATAGTGTGAAGATGCTTAGAAATCGAAGGTGATATAACTACTGTCAAATCACCCGCAAAAATGTGAAGGAAGACGCGCCACCCTCTTTAATTAGATCGGCGTGAAAAATGCTAAATAGAAACAGGCTCGATGAGCTACTTTGGGAAAGACCTACATACAGATGGAACAGTTTGGATTTTATCTCTTCATATACATGGAGTTTTCTGAAACAAACCTCTGCTAATTAACGATAAGTCCTAATCAGGTAGAAATTACATCAGTTTGAAGCTCTTCTTCTCTTCTACCTGTCAT